TCCACTTAAATGAGATACCTAAAGCAATCAAATTTGTAGAAGCAGGAAGTTGAACAGTGCCTACCGGGTACTGGAGTGAGTGGTAGGAGGAGTCTGTGTTTAATGGGTACAGAGTTTCAGTTTGGGAAAATAAAAAAAAGTCCTAGAGATGGATGTGCTATGCATATGAAGTATCCCCACAGACTCATTGCTGAAGGCATGGTCCCCATTTTGTAACATTATTTTGGGTTCTGGAAACTTTAGAAGGCAGCACCTAGCTGGAGGAAGTAGGTTACTGAGGGGGAGGGCGTATCCATGAGGACTGTATCTTATTCTTCCCCCTTCTACTTCCTGTCTGCCTTGAGATGAGTAGCATCTGCCATATGCACCTGCCACCATGATGCTTTGCCTTTCTATGGCCCAGAAACAATAGTCAAGGACTATAGACTGAAACTTCTGAAGCTGGGAGCCAAAATAAATCTTTTCTCCATTAATTAGGTTTATCAAGTACTTTTTTACAACAATGAAAAGTCTGACTAGTACACATGTTGGTGGAGAACATTGTGAATATATTGGATGACACTGACTTGTACACTTAAAAAGGCTAAAATGGCAAATTTTATGTTATATGCTCCTTACCATGAAATCATGGTAAGAAAAGAGCAAGGTGAGTAAACCAAACAGCTGATCTCAGGAGAAAAATATCTCAGGGAAGAGATGATTGTTTAAAAATTCTAAATTAGAATTCTTAGAAAATTTAGGATATTGCATTCCCCCCCAAAAAAGATTGGTTGGCTATGAAAAAGGATCAACTGGAGAGCAAGAAAGACTTCCTACCAATTCAAATATAATTCCCAAATAAAATTTCAGTGGATAGATTGAATGGTCATGGTTAAGACCAAACTAAAGAAAAACCTATTGAAACAGAAAAAGTGAAATATTAGAGAGAAACGAAAAAGACAGGAGGTTATACCTAGGACATTAGGCATCCATCTAATAAGATTTCTAAAAACAGACAGCCAAGACAAAGAGGAAGTGAAAAAACAGAGAAGTAAAAAGATAATAGTTCTCTATGCCTGAAGAAGAACCCTGTTCAGACTGCAAGAATCCACTGTATGTGAACAGGATGTATGCACACGCATTCACACCTTGAATGTATCCTGGGGATGTTTCAGAACTCCAAAGATAAGGAGAATCCTAAAAGTTCCTAAATGGCAAAGCAAATTACCTTCAAAAGAATAAGGATCCCAAGACATTGGGTATCTCATCAGACACTGGTTACTAGAAGACAATGCCCCAGAATTCTTAGGAGAATCCTAAACCAAGTATGGCCAAAACGAAGTCTTTTCAGACATGGAAATTTGACCACTCACCAAGCCCACCCAAAATATGACTTAAGATGACACACTAGTTGGGGAAAAGGGAATTCAAGAAAGAGGACTACATAAACTCAGAAACACTGGTGGCTGAATATGCCTTGGATGAAGCAGAGAGAAGAAAAAAGAAGCCAAAAGAGAATCCATTGAAGTTTGGTGTTTGGGACACTTTCCTTTGGTTGGTAGGAGTTTAGAGACAGGAATACCATGTCCTTTTCTTTGGGTGTAATCACATCATTTATTTCTGCAATAATTAATGACATATATGTTAGGTCAGTGTCCCACAAAGGCCCGTGTGTTAAAAGGCTTGGTCACCACTCTGTGGAGCTATTGGGAGGTGATGGGCCTATGGGAAAGAAGTAAGGTTATTGAGGGTGTGCCCTGGAATAGACGTTGGGACACCAGCCTCTTCCTGTTTCTCTCTCTTTGCTTCCCAGTCACCATGAAGTAAATGGGCCTCCTCTGCCCTGTGTTCCCCACCAGGCATTGGGGCCAAACAACCATGGACTGAAACCTCCAAAGTTGTGAGCCAAAATAAACCTTTCATTATTATTGGTTATATATTAGATCATTGTCACAGTTATAGAAGGCAAACTAATAAAAAATTACAATATAAATACTCTTTCATTAAGTTTTAGGGTTTTTTTTTTTTTGATAGCACTGGAGTTTGAACTCAGAGATTTGCACTTGCTAGGCAAGTACTCTATCACTTTAGCCATGCCTCCAGCCTTTTTTGCTTTAGTTTATTTCTAGGGCTGGCCTCAGATTGAGATCCTCCTACCACTGCCTGAGTAGCTGGATTATAGACAATGTATCACCTTGCCTGGCCCAGTCTTAATTTTAATAACTAATCTATAGACTTAATTAGGGCTATAGAACAGAATGATAATGTAATAAGCACTACTTATGAACATTAAAAAATCTATAGACTTAATTAGGGCCATGCAACAAAACGAAAATAGAATACACACTGACAACTTAAGAACATTAAAAATAGCAATAAAGTTGAGTAGCAGCATTCCAGAGGGGAGGTGGGAGATAAGGTAAATGCATCAGATCCTTGTCTTTCACAGACACAGTACAAATTATAAATCAGAGTACAGAAATACGTCACTCTATAGCAAGGATTTTCACACCATCAGTCACAACTCGTTACTAGATTATTAAATTAGTATCATGTTCTTAATCAGCATTTTAAAAGTGAATTAAAATCAAATTGGAAATATTAGAATATATCACACATTTTAAAAGCGGTACCAGTGGAAGGGGAGGAGGTGGGCAGAGGGTGTGGGAGGGTGAATATGGTACAAATACTGTGTACACATGTATGTAAATTCAAAAATGAAACCTGTTGAAACTATTCCAGGAATGAGGGGAGGGGAGGATAAAGGAGAATGATGGAGGGGTGAATTCAACTATGATACATTGTAAGAATTTTCTAAATGCCACAATGTACCCTCAGCACAACAATTTTTTAAAAAAGTCAATATTTTTTCCTGACATACTTGCTTCTGTTGTGGTTGTGTATTCTGGGAGTGTGGTACATTTGCTTTAGATGGGGTTGTCTACTTTTTCCTTTGAGGAATGGGAGCCTAATTCCTCTCCCTGTGAGTGTTGGCTTGAGTTACTAGCTCGCTTCTGTAAAAGAAAATGAAGTAATTAAGACTAAGTAAGACCTTCTAAATTGGAGTCAAGATTGTGAAAAGACTGCACTCACACCCCTCATCCGCTGGGGTTAAATCACAGAAAGTTCCAAGAGACTTGGATACACAACCGAAGTCAGTGTCCTTCAATGTCTCTCAGCTGGAAGTACCCTAGTTAAGTAGCCAATCAGAAAGGGTTTGCAATGTGGGATTTCTGCTCAATCAATGCACTGCCTTGGAAAGATACTTTAGAAATCCCCTATTAAAAAAACCTCTCCTGTACTGGCCATAGAAGGCATGATTCAGGGCTTCCCTGACTCAGTGGACCCAAATTACAATTCTTAGTTTTCCAAATAAATGCTATTTCCTTTGACCTCTATGTCAATCATTTTGGGGTGAGAGTAGACAGGTGTTAACCCTTCTAATAGATAGACTAAAGCAAAAGTGATGGAGTACAACTGCAGAGCCCAGGTTGTAAGATGCACTGTTCCTTCTTATCTGGTCTGTTAGATCACTATGACTGGGGGAAGCCAGTGTCATATCTTTGAAAGCACTTGAACTTGATGATGATAAGAATAATGCAACTTCATTTCACATTTCAGAGAGCACCCTTTTGTTACCTAGCCTGTATACTTCTGTATGGAAAAGGGGTTATATTTCTGGCTTATTTCTGTAACTAGCACACGGCATATACTACACAGTGTCTGACTTTTCATTGCATGTCACTGTAAGCCAACAATGAGAACAGAGCAGGGATGTGGAATCGTGTTCTGTGCATGCTAGCAGTGGCTTCACTGCACTTGAATCAGGTGGTCCTTAATTATTTATCTCTAAGGCATTTCTTTTTTTTTTCAGTTAATGTCATGACCCACAAGAATCAATGAAACAAAAAAAAAAATGTCCTACTAGGTAAGAAAAGTTTTTAAGCTTGGAACTTCAAATATGTGCCTCACACACCCAAGAGAAAACTCCTGCTGCTCATATGAGTGGTTTGGTCCAATGTACTGTGGAATGCAAATAAAATGATGGCTGTTCATCCATGTTGTATAATATTGATATCACATGGTACCCAGCAACCGTCATTCGATAATATTCTCCTGTATTTCTTTTGTTTTCTCGCTGAGTGTTATAATTGCTATTAACATGGAGACAATTTTTTTTCCTTCTAGAGATTGGATCTAGGACACTCAGTGCATCCCAGACAAGTGCTTCA